GGTCTATCCGTTAGCTATTATTAGGTCATCAGTCTAACCCTCAATGGCTAAAACCACAGTTATTTACTCTTGCTTGAATGTCTGCAGGTCATCTGGGCTTGATCTAAGCTGAACTCAGCTGAGAGGCTTTACTTCAGGCTAAGGTGGCTCAGAGCAGTCCTGGTTTTTATAGAGGGGCTATAAAAAACACTATAGAACAGAGGTTCCCAGTCCATGGCCTGTTAGGAGCCAGCTCACGCAGCAAGCAGGTGAGCAGCAGGTGTGCGAGCGCAGCTTCATCTGTGTTTACAGTCACTCCCCATTGCTTGCATTACTGCCTGGGCTCTGCCTTCTGTCAGATCAGCGCTGGCATTAGATTCTCATAGGAGTATGAACCCCATTGTAAACAGTGCATGCGAGAGGTCTAGGTGGAACACTCCTTATGAGAAGAACCTAATACCTGATGATCTGAGGTGGAGATGAGGTGGTAATGCTAGTGCTGAGGAGGGGCTGCAAATGCAGATTAATATTAGCAATTAGGTTTGACTGACAGAGACCATAATAAGTCAGTTGCTTGCAGACTCATATCAAAGTCCTATCAGGGAGTGGTAAGTGAGTGGATGTACTTCAACTGTACAGCTGCATCTGGTGGCAGACTTTAAGTCAGAATCCAGCACTTGTTTTAGTCCAAACATGGCCCATCCATTATTTTATTTACCACTTCTGTCCATGCCTTTCCCAGTCACAGTTTTGGTAAGCCCACAAGCTAACCCTAGCTAAAATGAGGTAAAAACAAACGTCTCTGGAAAGCTTCTTGGAAAAGGGGGAAGATCCACTGATGAGACAGCAGAAGACTCTAAGACTGCTAACAAAAAGAGTGCTGCATTTGAAAGAAAATACTGAGAGACTTACTTAAATTACAAGTTCATTGCAACAGGTGATTCACATTCTCCAAGCCTGCTTTTTGTAATATATGGTGACAGGCTATCCAACCAAGCCACTAAACCTTCAAAACTGCTTCACCACATGGAGACAAAGCACCCAGCATTAAAAGACAAGCCTTTGAAACTTTCCAAAAGAAAAAACAAATGAACATGAAGAACAGAAGTAATTATTGAAGGCCGTCACTTCATCAAATGTGTCTGCATTGAGATCATCATGCTTAGTGGTTGAGCTCATTGCTAAGGCTAAGAAGCCCTTTACTATTGGTGAGTTGATCCTGCCTGCTGCTAAGGACATTTGTCATGAACTTTTAGGAGATGCTACAGTTCAGAAGATGGCTCGTGCTCCTCTTTTGGCTAACACCATAACTAGACGAATTGGTGAAACAGAAGACATTGAGGCACAATTGTTAGAGAGGATTAATGAATCAGGGTATGCAACCCAGGTTGACATGTTGACCGATGTTGACATCAAAGCAACAATGCTTGTTTTTGTGACATATTTTCCAGAAGGATGTGCATGAGAATATGTTATGTACACTTTTGTTGCCAACCAGTCCTGCAGCTGCAGAGCTATTCAAGTCTTTGGATGGTTACATGTCAGGAAAACTGAACTGGTCATTTTGTGTTGGTAAATGCATGAACACAAGCTGCCATGATTGGACGGCTTTCTAGTTTCTCCACTTGGGAGGCTGCTTCTGAATGTGAGTCTACACACTGTGTCATCCATAGAGAAATGCTGGCTGACCGAAAAATGTTACCTGAACTTAACAAAGTTTTGCAGGATGTGATTACAATGATCAACCACATTAAAGTTACATGCCTTTAACTCACGTCTGCTGGCACAGCTCTGGAAGGAGATGGACGAAGAGCACTCATGTCTTCTCTAATACACAGACGTGAGATGGCTTTCTAAAGGTAGATCACTGGCCAGTTTTTGAGTTACAAGAGCCGCTCCAGAGACTTCTTTTAGCAAAACAGTCACCACTGGCAGCACATTTCAGTGACACAGAATGGGTTGCAAAACTTGCTTACTGGTGTGACGTATTCAGCCTGCTCAACAAACTCAACCTTCACTTCAGGAGAGTACGAAAACTGTGTTCAAGTTGGCAGATAAAGTGGCTACATTCAAAGCCAAACTGCAATTATGAGGGTGATGAGTGAACACTGGGATTTTTGACATGTTTCCAACATTAGCAGAGGTTTTGGAAAAGACAGAGCCAAGGCCTTTTTCCTCCCCGCTGTTGCATTATCACCTTTCTCAGCTTTCAGAAGAGTTTCAGCATTACTTCCCAACCACAAAAGACCCCCAAACTGGGAAGGCCTGAATCCATGACCCATTCGGGAATAAACCAGAGGAATCGACTTTGTCTGTGCTAGAAGAGGATCAACTGCTTGAGATTGCAATATGGTGGCCTTAAAAGTATGTTTGAACCAAGGTGGAATATCCTGAGATTGCCACAAAACTTGCTTCCATTTCCAACACTGTTCTTTGTGAAGCAGGTTTTTCTGCAGTGACAGCAGCCAAAACAAGGTTACCAAATAGACTGAACATAAGCAACATACTTTGGTTGTCACCGTCTCCCATCACCCCCAGATGGAACCATCTAGTTGCAGGAAAACAAACTCAGGCCTCCCACTGATTCTGCATTGTCGTGAGTTGTATAATTATATATTACAATGTAATAATAACAGAAATAAAGTGTACAATAAATGTAATGTGCTTGAATCATCCTGAAACCATCCTTCTCCCACCCCCGGTCCATGGAAAAATGGTCTTTCATGAAACCGGTCCCTGACGCCAAAAAGGTTGATGACCACTGCTATGGAAGGACTTTAGCAGACTGACTGGATTGCCTCTGCTCCTCATAGCTCTTATTTTCCCGAGACTAGCAAGTTATCCAGGGCACGTTTTTATCGTGATGATGGTGTAAGAGAGAAAATGGACGCACCCAAGGCCCAGGATCAGGACTGGCATACGTTCACTTCCATAAAGCAAGTTACACAGCCAAGCCAAAAATCAAGGGGCAGGGAAGGGCACTCCCTTGTGAAGAGCATGGCAGCGGTGTGGGTGCCAGAGTGGTGAAGAATTAGAGCCAATAAGCCGATCTGCTACACCAGATTAGATTGTGGAAAACTGGCGGGGGGGAAACTTGGGTAGAGATTATAATGATCTGAGCTATGTGAATTCAATAGGAAGTAGAAAATAGGGGACAGGATCTCTTGGGTAGGAGAAGTGAAAGAGTTTATGAGAGGAGTGCTGAATCTTTTTGAGGCCCAAAGAGCTATAACTGAGGGACATCAGAGGGTTGATGTGCCTTGGAATGCAGTGAGGAAAAGACCAGTGTAGAAGGGTAAAGGGAAAGGAAGATGCAAGTAAGACTACATCATTCCTTGGCATCCAAAGGAGTTTGGTTACGAGACCACCACAGATAACAAAATCCGTGGATGCTCAAGTTTCCAATACAAAGTAATGTCATATTTGCATACAATCTATGCACATCTTTCTGTAGACTTTAAGTCATTGCCAGAGTACTTATAATACCTACAATGTAAATGCTATGTGAATAGTTGTTATGCTGTATTGATTTTATTTGTACTTGTTTTTGTCGTTGTATTGTTATTTTTAATTTTTATTTATTTGAAATTTTCAATCCACGGTTGGTTCATAATTGCTATCCACTGAATTTGTATTTCCAAATTCTGATGTCCGTTGTTCGTGGGTATGGGGCAGAGACTGGTTCTAGGATACCCCCCAATCCCCCATACCAAAATCTGCTCAAACCAGGCTGTGAAACCTGCAGATATGAAGTTGACTGTCTGTATCCGGAGATTTCTGCACCCCTTTCTGATCCAAAGTGGTTGAGTTTGTGACTGTGGAACTCACAGATACAGAGGGCCATCTGTCTGTATTTATTGAAAAAAATTCATTTATGAGCGGACCCACATCATTCAAACCTGTGTTGTTCAAGGGTAAATTGTAATAGTCTGTGATAGTGAAGTGTTTCTGCACTGGGTTCAGGTTTGTCCAATGTATTATAGATAGGCTGTGGGATTTTGCTATCCTAAATCACACAGAATTATAGTGCTTGGGCAGAGAAGCCAGCATCACCATTTAAAAAACTCACACTCTCTTGGTTAATTTCATGCTTTTCACTAAGACTGGTGTTTTAATCAAATTAACATCCATACACCGTCAAAATAAGAATATTTCTGAGTAAATTCAATATTTATAAGTTTATAATTTTTACGTGATGTGATACCTATTAGGTACTTAAGTACAATTGATGTGTGATTTCCTCTCCTTTTGATGTGACTTTAGGTGAGGAACCTCTTCTGCTTCCTGAGTTCTAGGTCTAGTGGAACATATACATTTGCCTTTTTTCATTAACTACGCTATTTAAAATTATATCTCCATTTCAAAGAAAACAGCTATTTTTTTTTTTTAGATTAGAAAATAGAGTTCACTTAGAAAGTAAATTAGAGAGAGAGAGAGAGAGGGAGAGAGAAAGAGAGAAGACTCATCTTCCCAAGGTAGGGAAGGGGGCAAAGCCAGGAAACGTGGCCTGGCCATAGCTCAAAGAGCACATGGTCACACAGTAGCTTAGCAAGACAATGGCCAACAGCTGCTGTTTTTAAGTCAAGTTGCATGTACAGCACTGTGGCCATTAGAATGGAGACAAATTACGTGATTAGTAGAACATACCTCTCCTCAAGGGAACTAATCCTGGGGCTTATTTTTTTTTTTGGCGTATTCTGAGAAAATCTATTAAGACTACTGAATAGTCTTTGTTTCTGTGCTACTATGATTTACATCATTTAAAAAGCCTATTGAATGATGTTTCTACACGTTTGAGCATGTGATCCTCTGGTCCTGTATTTAGCAGAAAATTTCTCTTTTATCCAGAAGCTTTGAGTTATAAGGCTTTTTGTGAAAGAGTTTATTGATTACATCTGTTAAATCATGTGTTAAAACAGGAGAAGGCTTGGTATGTCTAAACATTGGCCTTGGCGCTTTTTGTTGATCCAATGCTTTGGTTCTTTACATTTTTTACTGTTAACGTCCATCTTTCTACACAGGCTGGGAAATGATGACACCCATTTTGAGGTTAGCATGGCCAAGGATGGGTGTGAAGTGCATCGTTTTGATCCGAGTGTCAAATCACCTCACATTCTGGAGAGTCAGCGCCTTTGGCATCACCGCTTGTCCATTGATTGGCGGGATCCCCATCCAGCTGTTGCTGCCCAAAGACCACATCGCAACACCAGAAAACTGGGAAGCATTTTGAATGAGTTTGGGCACCACAAGGTGAGTTTCTTTTCATTTGGTTTTATAATTAAGGTGAACAAACCCATACACTGCTTTTTTAAAAATGCAAACCTAGGATACTTACATTAACATTAGATGGTTAAGGATCTGCTTTTAATCTTACTAATCATTCAACATTATTTGTAGAGTCAACTCTGTAGACATCAAGTTTTGTCAAGGATAGGAATATTGACATTGATTTGAAGACTTTAGTTACTGTTGAATAATGCTGTCTTGACCAAGACTGGGCAAGAAGACTAAGAACCTTACTTCTGGCATAGGTTGAAGAATACCATTTTCATTTGTATTTAAAATTTCCAGAAAGAGCAAATTACTTATGTTGACCTCAAAGACAAAATATAATCAGAGCCAGATTTACTTTTGATAAGAGATTTCTTACGTATCATGTTCCTCAATGTTGTAACATGTTACTCACTATTTTGTGCCTCTAGACTCTTAAATTTAAGAAAATATTCACAGCCTTGATTAAAATTTACTTTATAAAATTGAATAGACATTATGTATGCTGCAATTTACATAATATTGTCGATGGATATCAATTCTCTGCAAGTATTTTATTGTGAATGGACAGCAAAAAGGAAGCTCAACCTTTGGACTGTGTTCCTTGAAAGCAACTTTCTGTGTAGTGTGCCCAAGCAAACTGTACTTTGTAGGCAGAGACCAGGGAAGGTCTTTGAGTGCAGTTGACTTGTGTTTGATCGCTATACCTTCTAGGCAGTTTGATTACCTTGACCTACTGTTCCCAGCAGGGATGCTATGCAATTTAGAACATGTCAGAATGAGTGTTTCTATTTGAGAAACACCCATTTCAATTTTAATGGGTGACTCAATTTTAAACTCGAGTTAACTTCCTGATCGTTAATAAGAGGATCTCCCTTGCCTTATTGTTCCTCCTTTTTCTCCTTCTCTTCTCCCTTTCTTTCTCCTCCTCCTCCTCCTTCTTTTAAACATTCTTTAATTAGACAACGTTCACAAGAATAACTTCAAAGAATTTGCTAGACTTTTAACATGAGATTAACTATTGATTTGAATTTTGCTTTGCCACTGAGAGTAACTAGCATTTAATAGGCACCTTAATGAAACATATATAGGGCTTGGGGTTCAAAATCTCAGAACAGAACCTTTTTTTATATGTTATTCAGTTTTCAAATATGTGTGGGAAGAAGGAGCATTTTTCAGAACTTAATTTTTTTTTTAAGCTAGTCATTACCTTGAGAGACCTGTTTTTCACCGCTGAAAATTACAGGCCTGAATCTCTCATATGTCAACTCTAGATTAGTCAGTGATTTTAACTAGTGATTCTGTGTTCACTTAGGAGTCCTGCTTCTCCTACTTAATGCTCTTTAAGTCTGTCCTGGCCCTCTCCACTCCTACTTGTCAAGGAAAAGATTTGGTAGGGAGGAGAGGGGGAACTCAATGCCATTTTGTTTTTTTCAATACTATTTTAGCAGAAGATTTGGTAAAAGTGAGGATAAAATGAGACTTTGAGAAAGTGATCTGTGGGTTTAAAATATATCTGACCACACATCCTCTGGGAATGTGTTTCTGATAACAAGGAATGCACCTGAATTGTGTTTGCTTAGCTCCATGGGACCTGCAGCCGGCAAAGCTTTATGCTGAAGATAAAGCATTTTGCAACCTGATCCTGAGACCGCAGAAATATTGACAGTGATGTCTACAAAGGAGAAATGCCTTCAAGGACCACTGATATTCCTAAGGCTACTTATGTTGATTAAAAATATTTACAATGAAAGTGATCTGGCTCAGAATTACTCAGAATTTTTAAGCATTTGCTGCTCAAGAGAAGAATTCCTTGTGGAAGAATGTCAATGATACAGATCTTCTTCCATAGGGATTTTTTTGGTGAGTGCTTTAAAACAAAAACAACCAAACTGACCCCATCAGTGAGTGATTGCTTTCAGTAGTAACATGCATCTAGGAGCTATGTGGTGTCAGATCAAAAGAAGTCTTGTCTGTGGCCTGGAGCGAGCATGATCTGTTTTCATTTTTCTGCATGTGCACAGACCCTGCTAAATCAGATGTGGCTGCGGGCAGGGAAGCAAATAGGAAAAACCATGCTGACAAGTGTCAGTGCTTTTGCCCCGCCCCCTCTGCTCATTTATTCTGAAATTGATTATAGAAACCAAAGCATGTTCAGTGTTTTGTTTTACCAAATGACTTTAACATTTCTCATGTAGTTTGGTAATCATTTTCACGTTAGGCTGTGATTTCTCTTATTTTTCTTTATCCACATCTAGGTTCCAACCATTCCAACAAAAAGATAGGCAAACACAAAAGCAGATTTCTGAGATCATGACAGAAAGATACATGTGGCCTTTGTACTGCTTTTAAAACTCTTTGGTAATTTTAACTTTACACTATAAATCAAAAGACCTTTCTAAAGCATCAAGCTAGAGAGGCTGCATCAGTAAAACCATGGTGACCAGAAGCCCAGTCTGTCAGGGAGTCATATCACCTGGTTCCAGCATTATTTGAAATAATTAGCTGTCTACTCCTAGCTGAATTGGTTGTAGTTGTTAACTAAGCATGCACATTTTTCTGGAATGTGACTAGAAATATTGAATCCAAAGTTTCTGCTCATCTTAATCATAATGTATGCTTTTAAAAGTCTTTATTACACACTTAGAGTATCCTAAATGATCCAAACAGGTTAATGAGGAATTATGACTATTATTATTTGTAGTCTTAGCCATGCTGCTGATACTATGAATAACTGAGCTGCCTTCCCTTGTAAACTCATTAATCTAGATTTAAAGCACGGTCCTCTTGCCAGCTTTGGGCATGGGGCAAGTCATTTAACTTCTCTGGAGCTCAGTTTGATTGTCAGTGAAATGAGGACAATGCTACAGCCTAAATTGTGGGTTGTTTTTGGGAATTAGATCTGAGAACACAACGTGGATGTCTCCAGCAGAATGCCTGGCATGAATTAGTCACTCAGTTGTTTTCAGCAAATTCAAAGGACTTTTATTAACAATTTCAGTATATTTTTGGTCATTTTGTAGAAAACCTGGTCTCTTTTTCTTTCTTTGTTTTTGGGGAAAATATATCAGAGATTTCTCTGGAAACTGCTAACCGTATCTAACTTCCAGTCAGGAGTTGTTAATGAAAGCTTTGTGTGAAACTGAAGGGCAATTGGTCCTTCGGATGTGAATGCGGAGAATTGCTGTTTACTGCCTCGAGCCTTGAACAGCTTTGCTGGTGATTGTATAGAAAGTAAACACTGTGCTGTATAGAAATTAAATAAACAGCTGAGAATTGAGATTCATTACACAGAGCAGATGAAGACTTTGGGGGCTGGGGCCCTCCGGTCAGACGACCCAGGGTATCTGGACTTCCTGCCTGTCAGCTCAGGATGACTCCTGTCACCACTCGGGTGCGGCTTAGTGTCTGCTTGGACCCTCAGGGGACTACCACTTTCTGCCTCGCTTGACTGGGAGCTCATCACTGACCCCTGAATATCAGTTTTATTTTGTGGTCTCTACTATGTTTGAAAGAATATGGGCTTTGAAATCAAATGCAACAAAACTCTTAGTTCTTTTTTGTTTTGCTAATCAAATTGGCAAATATCAGCAAGATATTGATACTGTCGTATGTTGGAATGTCTGTTGGAAAAAATATCTGTTTCCATTTGTCACTGGAAATGGAAAATAATGAAGGCTTTGAGAAAGAAAATTTGGCCATATGTATATGTTATGTCACATTTTATTTCCAGAAATCTTTTTGCCTTAAATTCTATTTTATCTGCCCTTAGTTCTGCCATACCAGCTTTCTTTTGATAACTATTAATGTGAATTGCTATTCTAAATTTTTGTTCTTTTTGACATAGATTTAGTTTATGTGTCGTATAAGAGCAATATATTCAACATATGACTGGATTGTGTTTTAGAATCCAATTTGATAATCTGTCTTTAAACAGGTATGTTTAGTTTATTTATATTTCTATTTACTAGGATTATTGGTACATTTGAGCTAATTTCTATTCTTTTATATTGGGCCTTTGGTGTTCTGTACTTTTTTTCCTCTTCTTTCCAAAGCTTATATTTTAATTTTTAAGTGGTTGTCTTTACATTTTAAATGTATATAATTAACCATAAAATTTTTAAGCATGTAGAATTATTCAGTATTTCCATATTTCTCCTAAACATGACAAAGATCATAGCAAGTTAACTAGTGAGCCCTTTGAACATGGGCTACCACATTGTTAGTATCTGGATTTTTACCTATTTGTATTTTGAAAAAAATTTCAAATGCTAAAGTTGTGAGATTACAATGCACTCTTGTATATTTTTCACCGGGATTCACCAATTGTTAATGTTTTGCTGCATTGACTCTCTCTCTCTCTCTCTCTCTCTCTCTCTCTCTCTCTCTCTCTCTCTCGTGTGCGTGTGTGTGTGTGTGTGTGTTGCTGATACTACTAATATTTCCATAATACATCTACCCATATATGTGAGTTTAATTCATTTGCATATATTGTTATTGCTGATATATTTGGACTAATTGCTTCTTACTTGGGTATATATGAGTCCAAGAGCTGGCATCATAACTAATATTGAAACAGTGGAAATATCCTTATTAAGGTCAGGGGAAAATAAGAATTTTTATGATCACTATTAAAAAAATTAATTTTTTAACAAAGTAAATTTCTCATTTTGAGATACATATTCATGGGCAGTGGTAAGAACTATTACAGAGATTCCATATACCTTTTATCCAGTTTTCCCCAGGGACGAACCTATAGTATGCTATCACAGCCAGGATATTTCACTGATACTGTTCAGATACAGAACTTTCTTTTTTTTTGTCTTGCTATGTTACCCAGCCTGGTCTCAAACTCCTGGGATCAGGCAAGCCTCCCGCCTCAGCCTCCCAAAGTACTGGTATTATGGGTGTGAGCCATTGTGTCCTGCCAAGATACAAAACATTCTAGCATTACAAGGGTCTTGTTGCCCTTTGATAGT